CCCCATATAACCCCAATACATGCCCTCTTCCTTGCCGCCAACGAGCTGGGCCGCCGATATCGATGTTCTCAATGCACGTGGCAAAGTCTCCACCTGTCACATAAGTCCACAGGGCTTAGGAGTTAAGAGTTTAGGCGTTTCGGAATTCAGGGAATAGAGTTTAGGGCTAGGGCTCAGGGTTTTGGGTGTTTAGGGGATGTAGGGACTAGGGGATTATGAAGATAGGATATGTTGTTTAGCGCGGGGGCTTAGGAAGAGCTGTATATGGAACTAGTTTCGAATGCTTTCTGATGTTGGTAATACCATTCCTGTTAAAAAGTCCTGGTACGGTCTATGCTAAGCCAAGATGAAGAATGACTGATGTCCCCTTCTTGACACACCAAACGGAGAGAGCATCCCACATGGCCAGTAGTTATAGGTAGCCTGGGGGGGTCACTTGAAACACTAGCAGCTAGCATATTCAATGAGACGGAGCAGCACAAGCATATCAATGCAAAGGGTCGGAGCTCCATGGTAGACGCCGGACGGCGGCTGCAAATGCATATACTTTTTGCTTCGTCTCACCACACAGTTACAGAATGCCGTGCGCTTGGGCACGTGGAATTGCGCGATGCATGTTACCATGTATTTAGGACTTTAGGCAATAATATCAGGAGATTGTTGAACATCAGGAATCTGGGCACAATCCCAATGCCGGGCCTTTGGCGACGGCCTCCTGAAAGGGATACCTCACCCAAGAAGGCAAAGCAAAGTAACTACCCGAGAAGAAACACAGCCGACGGTTCGCAACAATGCAATAAAGAAGTCTTCATGTGGCACCCATGTCTGCTAAAGATACAAGCTCGGAGCTCGTAACTCCCTCAGCGCCAGCCCGTTCAGTGAGAAACTGCCGCACCAAGAAACCGTCACAGAGAGGTCAGTGGGAAGGAAAACCAATCGCCCTTCAAGCAGACGGTTGTCATATGAGCAATCGCCCTGAGAAGCCCAGCCATAGAATATGTGGAGACTGCGTTCTGAGCCTAGCCCTGAACTCAACTTCCCGATGGCTTGTAGGGGAAGGAAGCAGGTCATCCCTATAGTCCCTATTTACCACCCCTAAAAAAAAAAAAAAAAAAACAGTCCTTCCGTTTCCTGCTGACCAAGAGTAAGTCAGGTCAACAACCCAAAGAGAGGAGACTTGGATGAGGTTCCCACCCACTAAGTGTGGTACACGAGGAATATATGGAGGCTTTTTTCTAATTACCACTATCTTTTGTACACTATGACTATGAGTGGGTTGCGGGCCCATCCTAAGATGAGACGCAGGTTGACCACCACGAGGTCAATCTTGCGAATGCCGTGCTTCTCCATCTCCGCCTGGTGCAAAATGTGGGGTTTTAGGGGTTTAGGGTTTGGGGTGGTGGTTTCTGCCAAAACCTAGGGATATGAAGTTTCCCTAAATAAGGGGACCCCAATATAGACCCCAAAATACTGAAGTCCTTTTTTATAAGGAACCCCAAAAAGGTACCCCTAATTTTGGGAAACTCCCATGTATAGGGATTGTAGGGAGACTTGGGCTCCTGATTCGGGACTATAGTAGGACGATCTTGAGAAAATGACATGTGAGTTCGTGTCGCATTCTGGGACCAGGGCCAGGGCACTGATGAAGCTTTAGGCTATGGAGGTCTTTGATTTTTTCGAATCTTGGACTTTCTTGGACTTCTGAGCAGCTCTACACGCCCTGACCCCAATCCATATTGCCCTCTAGCACCCCAGCGAAAATAGCCTTGCATGCTCCACATATTCCTCATGAGAACCCTCTACATTATCCTCGGGATACCCGACTCTCCAATCCCTGAGAGACACCCCGTATTAAGAAATTCTCCCGGGCCTTGATCTTCATCCTTTTTGCCGTATGAAAACTTCTCAAACTAATCACTAATCCCTGTACCCTGTACAATCCTTTGCAAGGACACCCTACAATCCCATCATTAACCCTACATATCTCCAAATGTCTCTAAGGCCCCCCCGCTCTTTGAGAAACGCCCATATCCCAGTGCTTGTGGTTGCTCTGGTTGCGCTGTGGCCTCATGCCCAGCGTTGCCGCGGGCTGCTAGGAGGCCTCCATGAACCTTCGGGTGGAGCGTCTTCACCTGAGGTTGGGGTGGGGCCTGAAGGGTTTAGGGTTTAGGGCTTAAAGGTTTAGGGTTTAGGGTTTAAAGGTTTAGGGTTTAGGGCTTAGCCTCGAGGTTGATGGGGATTTGGGTGTGATTTTCAGTGCATTTTCTTTCCGTCATGTTGCTTCATGCTGCTTGCCAAAAAAGGCAATTGTTAACCCCTCCTGACTGAGAAAGTCAATTGGGACATCAAACCATGACATTATGTTGCATAAGATCAATCATGCTAAGCGAAAGGGGACAGGACATCTTGATGAGGCTTCATTTGCATGGTAGCAGATCATCTTGAACCCCCGAAAAACGAGCTACTTGTTAAACAACATCGAACTAGAAGAGCCAATGCCGTGCCGAGACACTCGTCCGTCCAAGATCTCTGGGGAGCCGGTGTAGTCCGCAACATCCTGTTCAGTGCTAACGGGTCGGCCACAAGCACCCCTCACAGATAGCCCCAAGCATGCCTCAACATGGCTTAACTTGCCTTGCCGTACAGCTTGAACTTACTGTTCAATGGCCTCATGTCTCATTACCTGAGAGTCCTGGACGGTGCATCCGAGGTCACGCAACTTCGCAGCGGTGCCACCCGTGGAGAGGATGTGCACACCTGCGAAGACCCGAATCATAACATGGCTTACCTTGCAAACAACTCTAGCAAGCCATCCCTTGCGGGGACTTGAAGTGGGACTGATGCCAACCCTAAACCCTTTTCATGAGGTTGGGCGAGCGTAGTTGCATGTGCACTTTAGTTGGGCCCCTGGAAGTCCTCATACTGGCCTTTAGGTTTTGATCCCTAACAGGCCGACCGCGATTCTCATCCCGTGAATCCTCCCACCCAGCCACTCAACACTCAAATGAAAGCACCTGAACTTACCCTAAGCTTTAAACCCTGAACCCAAAACCTTTGAACGGTAAACGGCGAAACATGGAAACTATCTGAGCCCGGGGCCCTTGGATGCCAAGAACTTTCCGAGGTCCTCCAAGCCAGCCTTGCACTAATGTAGGGCTTCTGGTAACTTGCTGGGTGGGTTTAGGGTTTAGGGGGTGACTCGTAAAAACTATCACTTGGGCTCTAGTATACTAATCTGAAATTTGGAGCGTACTACCTGGACCCGGAAATTCGACGAGATAATGGCCCAAACTCCAAAACCCAGTCAAAAACGGTATTCTACATAATTACTTGTGTTGGGGCTTGGGTACAGGTGCGTAAAAGCTATAAATTCATGTTCCTCATTCGGCATTAGTCTATCCGGCAATGACCCAGGCTTTCTGTTAAGGGGTTTGGGGGTACCAACCACACCTCTTAATTTGCTTCATATACTCAGGGGGTGGAGGTAGTAAAGCCTGTAACGTTGTCTTCCTCATTGATTTTTCGTATGCTAGGAACTGAAAGTTCTATCCAACAATGACTCAGGTTTAGGATTAAGGGATTAGGGTTCAAGTGTTGGGGTTTAGGCTTGAAACCCATGTAACCTCTACTAGATGTTATCCCTACAGTTACAGTATTGGGGGACTGTTCCGACGCACTCGTGCTCCCTTCAATCGCTGTCCATGGCTTTGTATGGGGACACATGGTTTTGGAGGGTTAAGATTGGGTCAGAATTTTGGGTTACAAAGAGATGATTTTTGGAATTGCCCCAACGGCATACAACTCGATCATATAGGGCAACTTTGAGAAACCACCAAGGCAATGGGGTTTGTGGTGGTTTTGGTGTGTTCGTGTTTTTTCTTGGGGGGATGCTTTTTCCGTCCACCGAGTAATTTCACGGTTTGGGGCTTTGGGTTTAGTGCTAGCTGAATGTGCAGGTTTGGCTCAGGGCCTAACCGCAGGCTTCTAAGTCTAAAAAAAGATTCCGTGCATGGTAGCCCAGAACCAGAAAGGAGGCCTGATGTGGGGAAGTACTCTTGTCGCTTAGGATGTACGAGGTTGAGGGAACTAGGGGTTTGGGAAATTCAGGGAATAAGGGACTGCAATCCCTACATAATCCCTATATGATCTATCCCCTTATTCCCTACCAACCCCCAGTAAGCAAAGGGTCCAGGTTGGGCATATCGTTTTTCACCTGGATATGCATGGAATCTTCATGGCAAGCATCGATAATTCAGACTCACAATCATGTCAACATTAAACTCCAAGCAAGTCATGTCTGCAGTGTAGATTACGCGACTGGAATTATGTAGAAGAAGCAAATATAGAAGCAGGAGCTGGTAGCAATAAGAGCATAACAGTATGGCCACACAGAGCCGGAGGCTGCAGGAAGTAGAATCCGTTCACATGTGTGACCATTGTATGAAAGACCTCCCATTTCACAAACAAACCCCATCAAGTTGTTTAGTACATACCAGTTGTGCCCAGGCCCCATAAGTTCCGAAAGCCTTGGCCCATAAGAAACATCCACATCCGCCGAACTCAATCCGTTAACCCTGCACCCTCATCTTCCAGACACCTTGTCAAAGACAGAGACGAGAGCCGTCTTCACCTCAACCTGCTGCCCAACCAAGGATTCAGGGTTTGGGACTCACATGAGCTATAGTCTAAACTCCTAGTATCCCCCTTAATAACCCCTATAGTAGTCCCCTATATAATCCCCTATATTAATATAACCCCCCTTTAAGGAGTTTAGACTATAGCTCACATGGCTTGCAGGTTTTGGGTGTGGCAGTGGCCAAAGCCCCTCCAATCTGGTAAATCGTGTCGGTAGAAGGCCGAGGTCGCTGCGACAAGGGGTTCAGCTTAATCATTCAGGATTTTTGCTGGGGTGGGAGCTTGTAGCTGACGATGGTGTACATGGTTCAGGGTGAGGATTGAAACAGTACCTGGCTAGCATGAGGCGTCTAAGTAAGTTTCCTTGAGAGCCGCTGACGCTGAGCCCCCCAAGAGGAGACCCAAGTCCAAGGTGCTGTGGATGATGCTAAAAATTCTGCGTGACGCGCAGTTCCGTACACGTCGGGGATTAATCATGGCGCTCTAGAAGATTAAGCCGATGCAGAACTCTTAGTATCAACTGTCGTACTGGCGCCTTGTCAACCACCTCGGCACTCACGGAAGCAAGCGTGGCTGGCCCCATCACTCCGCAATGTGGGCACAAAAGCCGTGCGCTTTCTTGGATTTAAAGCTGTGAGCCAAACGGCTTCAATCACAGATCAAATGTTCCTTCTAGCCGATTTTTCCTGCTGTCACTTCATCTGTGACAGTGGATTGTGCTGCCTAGCATTGTTACACGGATACTACCATCAACTGCCCCTGTCGTGTGCAGCTTCTGCTCTTCTTCCTCCCTTCTTTCAAGCCCTTCTTGCACAAGCTTTCATCCCTCTCTGCTGTCAAACAACAACCCTCGGCAAGGGTCCATGCCCAGGATTTGGACTACTGACGCCTGCCCTTGTGATGGTCCATGTCACAATCGATTATCACTGGTCACTGCCGATGCACTTTGGTGGATTGGGCAAATATTAGGATTATATTGGGGTTGTATTGGAATAATGGAAAATAAAATGGAAACTACTGTTTAGGGTTTAGGGTTTAGGCTCTGATTTGCACAGCACAGGCACGGTCGTCATAACTCATACCTTGGCTACAGGGTTCATGCCACCTGGCCTGATTTCTTTGGCGCTTCCACCTTCCAACTCGGGAAAAACTTGGAACCAGAGCCTAAACCCCAAGATAACCCCTTTATAATCCCTATATAACCCTTAGTAGTTTCCATTTTCTTTTCCATTATCCCAATGTAACCCCTTTATAATCCCTAAACCCTAAACCCTAAACCAAAATAACCCTAATATTACCCCAATGCCCAAGGCCCACCTCTGGTGTCTCAAGGTGCCCTGGTGCTTGCTGAAGAGTCAGGGCAGAGACTATGTACGAGGATTTCTTCCCAGACCCCTGGGATGAGGTAAAATTAGATCCCCTATATAGACCCATAATAGCCCCTATATAACCGTTATATAATTTCCCACATGGTTCTAGGGGATCTAGGTTTTAGATCCCTTTGAAGGTCAGGATTGTGGCATTCCATCGGGATCCATTCCATCATCCGCGAGAACTCTGAAGGATGGGCTTCGACAAGATTTCCCTAGATGGAGATATTCCCCCGTAAGTAGATAGAATATGGGTATATGGGGATCTTTTATAATATGCCCAAAGCCATATTCTATCTACTTAAGGGGGACTAACTTACCCTCAAAGATTGTAGGACACCTCATCCGCAGCAAGCCTGTTTAATTTCCTACTTTAGAAAAAGCCTAAGGATGTACATCTTGACATCATGTAAGCCTCAAGTCTGAGAGCCAGCTGCTCTAGAACAACACAAAAACAAGTTTCCTGATAGATCCCTACCCAACTCATCGGAATTCACGTTCTAAACAAGTAGTAGTACCTGAGAAGAATGAGCCCTAAGCCTACATGAAGTCTATTGACACTCTTACCAGACTAAGCACTAGTACCCCAAAACCCTGAACCCTGCAACCCTAAACCCTAAGCGAACCCTGAACCCTAAACCCTGAACCCTAATCCCTGAACCTACAAACCTCTACCCTATATACATGAGCTATGGTCCAAACTCCTAGCATCCCCCTAAATATACCCTATAGTAGTCCCCTATAGATTCCCTATTTTACCCCCTGCTTAGGTTATGGCTCACATGCATGTCACTGTCACTGTTACCAGGACTCCCTGCGCGGGAGGCGTCCAAATCGCCGCTGCCAAGACTCTGCTCGTCCTCTGCGCTCTTGGTGATGTGATTCTAGGGATTATAGGGTATATACTGGGGTTATATAGGCAATATACTGTAATAGGGTATATATTGGGGTTATATAGGCGACAATGGAAAACAACATGGAAACTACTATAACTAGTATAATGGGTTATGTAGGGATAATGGAAAAGAAAATGGAAGCTACTATATTATAATAGGGTATATATTGGGGTTATATGGGGGTTATATTGAGCAGTGTTTTTTGGTCGTTGAACCTAGTAAGATTATATTCCTTATATACTATAATATACCCCAAAAGGAAGACAGAATCTTACTCTATATTGGGTACCATAGCATCCCCAAACAAAATACTACTCATGTGAGCTACAGTCTAAACTCCGAGTATCCCCCTCAAGAATCCTAGGATTGAGGGTCTAAACTCCTAGTATCCACTTTAATCACCCTTGTGATAGTCCCCTATCTACTCCCCTATATAACTTATATAACCCCCTTTAAGGAGTTTAGGCTATAGTTCGCATAGGGATCTGAACAAGTAGAAAAAGGCTTCGCGCGGTAATTGAGGATATGACTACACAAGGATTGAAACAGAATGGCCTGAGCAACTATTCAGACTCCTACGCCGGATTCCAGAAAAAGCTTTCGGAGTTGAAGCTAGAACGTTCACAATTTGTGGGCCCTGGGATTAAAGGGCTGGGTGAAGGTTAGGAGGGGCTAGACCATGGCATCAAAGAGTACTGTTGCTGCATTATAACTCATGTTCTTTGCTGTGACTATGGAGTAGAACTACGTCAGGGACAGTGGAGGGCTGAAGAGGCTGCTGCAGGTAAAAGAGGCTAAGGCCTTAGATCCCCCATGCCAAGGAATCTAATATCACGGCTCGAACATATTCCTTGCAGAATTTGTCTATCATTCCACCGAAAAACCCCGTGACATCATTGGGCCCGTGTGCTAAACCCGTTCAAACCCTAAACCCTAAACCAGTAAGCTTCGGTTTCAACTTAGACTTGTCTAGGCCGGAAGACAAGGCACCCTTGATACAAGATGTGGTTTAGGGTTTGTGGGTGTGTTGCCCCTCCTGCTCAAGAATCAAGCGGAAAAGAAAATCAAGCATTACATGGAAACTGGGGTCATTATTGGTCTTATTTTGAAGTGTGGGAAAGAATTACCTAGATCGTGGCTTCTCTTATAGGGAAGTCCCTAGGGACCCTAGGGAAAAATGGAAAGCATTTGTGGAGATAAGAAGGGTACCCGGAATACTGCGTCCGCCCTGTAACAACAGAGCGGGGGTAGCGCTTAGGGGGTCCCCCTCAAGGATTTTGTAGGGTTGCTGGCCTCACAGTTGCAGCTCTCGGCGCTGCGCCCTGATGGATGAAGGTGGCTTTATGGGGACTTCGGGATATACCGTAATGGTTTGGCTCAGAATCTGAAGGGTTTAGGGCCTAGGGGTTTAAGGGTTTAACGGTTGAGGAACTGAGGATTTCTGGTTTAGGTAGGGTCTAGGGATTGGCGTTCACGGACTTTCCTGAGCGCATGCAAGGATAGTAGGGTAACATTGTGAATATATAGTAGCCATACAATGTTGTGATTCTGGCATAGTGAGCATGTAGGAGTTTTACGGTTGTGTGCAGTCTCCGCAATCAGGAGTCTGTTACCATTGCGGATGGGCAGGGGGGTCTCTCTCAAGTGATTTAAGGTTGCCCCCCCCCGCCCCCCCGGCATGTCAACTGCGTCAGGCTTGTGACACCTAGCAGGATGACCAAAAACACCACGTCAATCATAACACTACAACACTACATTGACACGTGGATTTCCTAAAATGGGGGGCGGGCGGGGGTACCTTTTTGGGGTTCCCGATAGTAGGGACTGTAATATTTGGGAGTCTATTTTGGGGTCCCCCTATTTATGGAAACCATCAAATTCACTAGCAGCGATCATAGTTGGAAATTGCAAGGCTACATCAAGCAAGGGGATGGTCGTTCGGAGGGCTTTCCCAGGAATAAATTCAAAACTACGCAAGGTAGAGGCATCCTTTGGCCCTTCTCACAAGTGAAAACCCAAACTGCACGAACCATCCTTGATCCTGAAACCCTAAACCCTAAACCCGAAACCCTAACTGAACAAACCACCCTAGATCCTAACACTCTAAACCCTACACCCTAAACGCGACCTGAAGAAACCACCCTAGATCTTGAAACCCCATGTCCTTAAAGACGAAACGCCAACTGAACAAACCACCCGAGATCCTGAAACCCTAAACCTGAAAACCAGCACCCTCAACTCTGAAGCCTCAAACCTGGATCCTTAGCCCTAAGCCTCGGCAACGGGGTGGCTATAAAGGAGCCCAACATAACTAAGTTTACCAAAATCAAGATGGGTATATAGCAAGTAACAAAGTTTCCCTATTTTAGTAACTTAGCTTAGGTTCCTGCACTCTAAGACATGAAGTACTCCTGCCTCGAGCCTCTGCCAAGATGTGGAATTATCTCAGACTATCTCAGAATTTATGTCGGGGCTATCTCTGGCAGCCCAGAATTGTTGCCGTTCTAAGGGGAAATTACAACTCCCCCCAAAACCCCGCACTATATCGCACTATATCGATACTATCTCAGGTAGAGTATTTGGAGAGCTTTCTTACCATGTGGTGCTATATACCCCTTATATCTCCCTGTATAGGCAGACATAGTGGTGATTTAGTGTAGATAGAGGCACGGAAACTGCCAGGAGTTGTTGGGGGGAGTAGCAACTGTCTTAGA